ACAACTGATGCATTTGAATCATGGAACTGGTGAAGAATATTGAAAGTACCATGAATTGCCAAAAGAATAAACAAACATCCCTTGGGGGGAAAAAGGTGACCATTCTCCTTAGAATCAAAGATGTTAGGCTTTCTTTCACATACTTTGGATGTATTATCAGGAGAGAACAGTCTTGGGAAAAGGACAGCATGCTTGTAAGGGCTAAAGCAGAAGGCAAATGTTTTGAGAATGACGAGGGCAACAAATGTACAGATGTTCTTGACACAATGGATGTATGTATGGACTGTGATAAGAATTGTATGAGCTCCCAATAAAGTAATTTTTTTAAAAAAGGAAGCAGGTCCTCGACAAGATGACAAAGGACCAGCATGGTGTTTGATTCTGTTTCATATACGATGGCTATGAGTATATATATGTGCATTTTAATTGGGCTGGAGAAGAATAATTATTGAAAGTAGCATGGATTGCTAAACAACAAACTGTTGGAAGAACTTCAACCAAAGTCCACCTTAATTAAAATTAAAAAAAAGGCCAAAAAACCCACAAAAATCAAAGTCTACCTTAGAGGTTAGGAGGATGAGATTCTGTCTGCTATACTTTGGGCACATTGTCAGGAGAACCCAATCATTGGAGAATGACCTAATGTTTGGTGGAGGACCAGCAAAGGAGAGGAATGCGGAATGCCTTCAAGGGGATTGATTGATACAGTGACTGCAACAATGGGTTCAGGGACAAGAATAATTGTGAGGATGGCATAGGACTGTACAGTATTTTGCTTTGTTGTGCATAAGGCTGCTATTGGAACCTAACAACAACAAATACACACATAGACACATATATGTTGCTGCATACCTATATGCATACATATTGTTATTTACATATATGTATACACATGTATATATATTTATGGTCACAGATTTTCCTTCATAAGATCATAAAGTAAAACTCGCTACACTCTTGGCTTACACTCATTTACATAAGTCTAATTCATTTTGCTTGGTTTTTCTTTTTGGAAGTATATTTGAAAGAGAAAGAGAACCATGTTCAGCATGGGAATTTGTTATCTACTTCTTCAGTTGTGCCAAGATTTTACTCTGTTGTCCCAGGGGATTACTGAAAACCGTCCCAATGAGCTAAGCTGCAGTAGGAGCAGCATTTCCATTGCCTAGTTGCTTGAACACTGTTTGTGCCTCAGGTAGTTTGGACTTACCTACTAAATGTTAAAAGTAAAATTCTGGTCTGAGGAAGTAGCTTTTGAAAATTAAGTAGTTGGAGGTGGGGCATCAGCAGAAAGTAGTCTCCTAGGGAAGGTTGTGACATGCTGAACCTCAAAAATCATGATCTGAAAGTTGAGGGCCCTCCAGAAAGTCGCTGGAAGGAAGCTTTGCCTCCGGCTCTGTTCACCCCAGGATGATGGGTAAATAGCTAAGGTGGCTGCTAGCTCAGGCCCCTAACAGCCTGGCCTGCTGGGCGCAGGTGATGTCTGAGGGTTTCTCAGGCAGAGGTAGCAGACTTGGAGCCTCTCCTCTGTCCCTGCGAAGGACTGGGGAGGTGCCTCACAAGGATGCAAGCTTCTTGAGTGGCAGCAACCAGTGGTTGGTGGGTGTGAGAAAGTGCAGCTGTGCGTGTTGTCACACAGACTACTTCGTCCCAGCACCTGGTCCAAGTCCAGCAGCTACCCCAGGGTATTGAAGCTGGCAAGTTGTTGTACTTTTCCCTCTTAGCAAAGTCCCAGGAGTTGTTGAGGTAGGCCAGAGTAACCATCACCGAATAACAGATGCTTGCCTGGCAGTGCACTGGATTCCCACACTTTGGGAGCAAACCTTGTCAGTGAAGCTGACAGCCTCAGGGAGGGGCTTGGAAAATTCCACATGAATGTTTAAGGCACAATCCTCTGACCAACCAGGCACTCTCCTCTCAGGTACTCACAGGACTGCTTCTCTGGCTTTGCCTCTCAGCCATGCAAACCCTGACCTTTTCCCTGCTCAGGAAATACAACAAATCTCTTTTAACTCTGCAGATAAGGTCCTCTCCATCCCATCAGTAAATCTCAGCCCAAAGTTCTAGGATAGATAGGCAAATTTTTTATATTCTATATATTCTTATTTGATGGTAATTAGATTCCTCTTTCTCATTTCAAAGTTAGTGGGCAGGCAAAAGTGATGCGTCACATGGCATACCCTTTATTTGCCTGGTCCCACTCCACAAGGGTGCCATGTCCCTTGTTTATTTTTTAGCAAGCTAGACCTATGCCGTGGGGGTCACAGGCACCTCACATTTGCATATTCTTACTCAGTTTTGTGTGTGTGTGTGTTTGCGTGTATTGCAAAAATCATAGTTAGCAGAACCATGCCAAGAAATTCACTGCATGACAGAATATAGTTGAATGTTTGATAAATAAATGAGGGATCTGAAAAAATATACTTTTTTGTGGTGTTAAAGGTACAGAAAAGAAGGAAGACTATAGAAGGAATCTGACTCTTAGCCAGCGTACTACTGGTTGATACCTACTGAATTATTGAAGAAAGTATTTTTCGAGATAGAGAAACTTGAGTATAAAAGTAAAGATGTTCAGATCTAAAGGTGACAATATGTTACAAAGAAAAGGTAAAGGGCAAGTCTGTGCAGTTCTGTAAGTCATGTCAAGTCACTTCAGCACCTGATGTGGCAGTTTTGGAACCATGAAGAGAGGGGACCCCTGGAATTGATGCTATTATCACAGTGAACTGCAGAAATAATGGTGGACGCAGAGCTCACTTACGTAGCACTTCCATCAGAATTAAGCAATAATGGGCCCCAAAGTAGAAGATAAAATGGCTATCATGAAGTGATTATAATGGACATTTGGTCTTTAGTACATGTGTAGCACTCCCTAGAGAAAGACAGAAACGGATGATTTGCAATATGGGGTTGATTTCTTGTAACAAGAAATGAGATCAGAGGCACTGGAACTTTTGTTATTACCAATCATCTGACTCTAAAAATATTCACAGGCTGACAAGGCTCGGCAATTTTAAATTTCATTTTTAAGCCACTTTCTCAAGTTGCTCTTAAATAGCAATATGGATTGATCTGACTTGAAGGCACGGATCAACATAAAGAAGTCCTTTAAGTTATTTTTAAATGAAGCATGTTTACGTGATATTGTTCTTAGCTACAGAAGTGCTAGACTTATTATTTAAAAAACTAATCATGCTTGTTGTTGCTTTTGTTGTTGTTTGGTACCATCAAGTCAGTTTCAACCCTCAACAACATGAAATATCGGCCGGTCCCACACTATCCTCAGCATGGTGCCCATGCTTGAGCCCATTGTTGCAGCACTGTGTCAGCCTCTCTCCTTGAGGGCCTTTTCCTCTGCTAGCTGGTGATTCAAGGTTGAATCTAATTAAATTTATTTTCTGAAGAAAATATGTTCTCAAATTCTTATTGGAGGGCTCTGAATTTTTGCTATAAAAGTAAACAAAAATTTTGTTATACATTTTTCTTCATCAATTTGAAAACAATCAAGATAGCAAATTTAGTCTTTGTAAATGTTACAATTTATAGAGCCATTTTATAAGAAGAGTATTGCCTAGTTGCTATTCCGACTAGAACTTTGTCTCTGTGACTCTTTAAAGGGTACACTACCTTTTGTTAGCATTGACTATTGGCATGAGTCATTTGACTTGTTTTGCCCAATGAGATGTAAACTTAGAATTTGTCTTTTTTCTCTTATAAAGATTTTACATTATGCTGTTCACTAAATAGGACAATTACCCTGTATTTAAAACAAAGCACACACAATGTATATTAATGTAGCACATAAGGAAAGGCAAAGGGGTTGCTATCTTTGTTAGGCTAGTTTTGAAAATATTCAATATTCAATTTACACAATCTATATAAGTACACAGTCATTAGACTTTGTTTACTTTTGACAACCTAGTCAACAGAAGAAGCATGCAAGATGGGAGAAAAGGCTATTGAAGCATGTTAGATAACTACTTGTA